GGAAAGAGTAGAGAGCAGGGGAGAGGAGCAAAATTGCAGGCCTGCCAAGCAGACCACTTACAGGAGATTGAGTGTTTTCAGGCTAATCATCTCAAGGAGACAGGAAGCAATCTTCCTCAACCACCAGAGAGAATGGCATGAAAAGCAAGGAAAAAACAGCTGCTCACCTTTGTAACTGCTGTTCTTTGAGATGTGTTGCTCATATCTATACCAAGTTAGGTGTGCACATGCACAACTGCTGGAAAGTTTTTACCCTAGGTGCCATCTGTAGGTCTGCAGTGGAGCCCCTGCAGTGGCACCGGTGCGGTGCACTATATATGACCTTGCTAACCCAACCACCCCTCAGTTCCTTCTTGTTACTCCGACATTGGAAAGGAAGGTGGCTATGGAATAGATATGAGCAACACATTTCGAAGAACAGTTACAAAAGCGAGCAACAATTTTTTCTTCGAGTGCTTGTTCATATCTATTCCCAGTTAGGTGATTCACAAGCCTTACCCAGGAGGAAGGGTTGGAGTCAACGTGTAGCTGACTCAAGTACTGTAGCATCAAAAGCCACATCACATCTGGGCTGTTGAATGATGATGTAGTGACACACAGGTATGAACTGAGGACCACGTTGCAGCTCTACAGCTTTCCTGAAGAGGATCATGGGCCAGAAAAGCCATCAAGGAGGCCTGCGCCTACATAGAATGTGCCATGAAAGGTGGTGGGGAAACCTTAGCGAGGTCATAGCACATGCGGATACACACCATAATCCAGGAGGTGATGCATTGTGATGAGACTGGCAGTCCCATCATTCGGTCTGCCATGAACAGTTGCAAGGATTTACGAAAGGGCTTATTTCTGTCAACAGAGAAGGCGAGAGCCTGCCTGACACTGAGTGTGCAGTTTCTGATCCCATGAACTCTGGTGAGATTTCCTTCCCATTTCCTACCCTAAAATGTCCTGACCTGTGTAGAAGGCAGAGACCACCTTCGGGATGAAAGCTGTGGGCAAAGCTGGACCTTTTCTTTATGGAAGACAGTGTATGGAGGTTCCGACATGAGGGCACAGAGTTCCAACACCCATCTGGTAGAGGTGATGGTGACCAGAAAAGGTACCTTTCCATGAAAGGTAAAGTAAACATGTTGCTAAGGGGTTGGGAGAGGAGGGGGGGGAACCCATGAACACCAAGAGGACCAGGTTGAGATCTTGAGCAGGGACTAGGCACCAGATGGGTGGGTGGAGCCTATCCATACACTTTAAGGAAGTGTCTGACCAGGGGGCTCATGAAAACAGAGTGGCCAGCGTATCCCGGGTGGAAAGCTGAGATAGCTGCCAGGTGTACTTCCGGTGTGGAAGTAGCCAGGCCCTGGTGTTTCAGAGATACCTAGAACTCCAGTAACTGGGAGATAGAGGTGGACAAGGACACTAGGTTACGCTGGAGAGGCCAACAGGAGAATCGCTGCCACTTAGCTAGATGTGAGCAGAGGAAGTTTTCTACACATGAGAAGGACCAGCTCAGAGCGTACCAGCCACAGAGCCACCTTGCCATGAGATGGAGAGCATGCAGGTCTGGGTGGCACAGGCAATCGTGGTACTGTGTGATGAGGTCCAGGCGCAGTGGGACTGGATGGTGGTTCCAACAGTTCAGAAGGGTGGGTACCAGTGCTGACGATCCAAGGCTGCAGAAAATAGGATGATTTTGCTCCGGCTCTGCGGATCTTGAGGACCAGCAAAAATGGGGGTAAAGCCGCTCTGCCATAGAATCAGGAATGCTTCTGCTAGAGACCCTGCACTGAGGCCCCAGAACAAGCAGAACTGCAGGCATTGTGAGGTCATCTATCTGGGGAAACCCTCGCTTCCAGAAAACTGTGTGGACGACATCAGGTTGGACCAACCACTGAGTGAGTGAGAAAACGGCAGCGGAGGCAATCCGCCAGCTGATTTTGGACCTTTGGGAGGCACTACATCTCCAAGGGTATGTCTACACTACCCTCCTAGTTCGAACTAGGAGGGTAATGTAGGCATACCGCACTTGCTAATGAAGCCCGGGATTTGAATTTCCCGGGCTTCATTAGCAAGTGCGGTATGCCTACATTACCCTCCTAGTTCGAACTAGGAGGGTAATGTAGGCATACCGCACTTGCTAATGAAGCCCGGGATTTGAATTTCCCGGGCTTCATTAGCAAGTGCGGTATGCATACATTACCCCGCTAGTTCGAACTAGCGGGGTAGTGTAGACATACCCCAAGTGACTAGAGTGGATTATACACAAGTCTCACAGATGAAGGGCATTGGTACAAAGAGGACGACGGGGGGACGACTGCTAACCAAGCCACCATTTTGTTGATATAATACATGACCATCCTGACCACCACACAGTGTCCCTGAAAATGAGGAAGCAAGGCAAGACACATGAAGCGGGCTGCTTGAAGCTCACGTAACACCGATGTGGAGGGCGACAGCTCCTCCGCTGACCACATTTCTTGAATGGCAAGATCCCCAAGGTGAGCCCCCCCCACGCCAAAGCAGCTGCATCTGTGATCAGAGACATGGAGGGGCTGTGAAAGGGAACACTAGCCAGCACTGATCAAGGGTCTAGCCACCAATGTAGGGCATGAGCGACGTGACGGGGCACCCTGAATAGCGTCCTTGCTGTCCTGTCCCGGACAGTATATGGATGCCAGCCAAGACTGGAGCAGCTATAGGTGGATCCGGGTGAATGGAACTACATACATGCCACCATGTGACCTAGGAGCTCGAGGCATGTATGGGCCGTGGTGACCAAAAAGTCAGACACACTTCAGGAGCTTGGTTGACACCAGGAATTGATGGTCTGATAAGAATGCCTGGCCCTGGTGGCACTGTGCATAGCCTCACCAATTAGATTCTTTGCATGGGAACGAAACTCGACTTTCCAGGGCTACGTAGCAGGCCCAACCTGTTGAGAGTGGCCTTGGCAAAGGTGACACGTGCCTCAACCTATTGATAAGACTGGCCCCTCAGAAGCTAGTCATCAAGGTAAGGGAAAACCTGGACCCCACAATATCTGGGGAAGGCAGCACCACTGTCATACATCTGGTAAACACTCTGGGCACCACAGAAAGCTAAAAGGGGAGAGTCTTGAGCTGTAAGTGCGACTGGCCCACCAGGAACTGGAGAGACTGTGGGGGAAGGTTTGATCGCAAGCAGCGAGGGCAGTGTTCCAATCCCCTGGATTCAAGGAAGGAACGATGGAGCCCAGGGTGTCCATTTGAAACTGATGGCTGATCATGAGTTTGTTGAGCTCCTGGAAGTTGAGGCTTGGGCAGAGGCACCCCCTTCACCTTTGGGATAAGGAAATAGTGCGAGTAGAAGCCCCTACCTCTGTAATCCTGAAGGAACCGCCTCAACGTGCTCAGTTCTAGGAGTGAACAAACCTCCTGAAGAAGTTTCTTGTGAGAGGCAGTGGGGAGGAGGGATGGGAGGCTGGAAGGGAGTGGAACAGGATCGAGTAGCCTGTTTTCACTGTCCGAAGGACCCAGAGGTCCAAAGCGATGGAAGCCCAAGCATGGTGATAATGGGATACAGAGTTTTGGAAGGACAGGGAAGGATCTGGAGGCATCGGGCACATCTTCAAAAAGGATGTTTAGACCCCAAGGAGGACTTTATCTGGCTTTGGCTGTTACCAGTCTGGGGCCTGGACAGTTTGTGGTGAGAGGCACCGATGGCCGTGTAGCACAGGAGGGGAAAGACTTCTGCAGGGACTGAGGCTTGAAGGGCTTGTGTTGCACAGCGGGGATCTGCATGCCCAAGGACTTCAACAGTCTTCCTGCAGTCTGCAGGAGTTTGAATATACTGAAAAAAGGCCAACTCTATCGAAGGGAGAGTCCTGGATCATTTGCTGGGACCTTGGGAAGAAGTCAAAACAGATGCAGCCAGGTGACCTGCCATATAGTGTTACCATAGGCAAGTAGGGATGTGAGCGTATATACTGTTAACTGATGAGCCTGGGCTGATGGGTTAACCCTCACAATACACACAGCCTCCTCCTTCCCCCTCACTGCTGTCTCTCTATCAGAGCTGCGTGGGGGAGGGGGAGCTGATGTGTGTGGGAAGATGGCTTTTAAGCTGCATACTGGTGCACACAGAATCAGCTGCCCCTCGTGTGTAAGTGTGTAACCACTGAAAATTTCAGAAGTTACACATTTACCAAAACAACACACATTTTAACATCCCTAGAGGCAAAGCCATGTGCTGCCACATCCCCAGCATTCAAGGGAGCTTGGAGGCAAGTTTGGAATACAGATTTACCACCTGAGCAAGAGCACCGCGCTCATCCATCGATCCCTGGGGCAGCGAATCCTTACATTTAAGGAGAGAAGCCCACGAGCTGTAAGTATATCGACTCAGGACAGCTAACTGTTTTGCTGTCTGGTGTATTAAACCCCCCATGGAGTAGATCTTGCAGCCAAACAAATCAAGGTGCTTAGTGTCCTTAGATTTGGGTGCCAAGGCCTGATGATCCTGATGCTCATTCACTACCTCCACAACTTGGGAGCATGGCAGTGGGTGGGTGAAGAGGTATTCAAATCCCTTGATGGGGGAAAGTATTTTCTTTCCACCCCTTTGGCCATCGGGGGAGTGGAGACGGAGGCTTTCCAGGCAGTTCTGGCTGACGCCAGTATAGTCTTATTGATTGGGAACCAGGATATTGATCATAGGATCATCCTAATCCATCACGTCCTCCACCTGGAGACTGAAGCTGAGGGCTAACTTGCAGAGATACTGCAGGGCCCTATAGTCCACAGGTGAGGGACCTGTGATGGAAGAACCTGTCACTGCCTGATTGGGGGAGGAACTCAAGGAAGCCACCGGGGGAAAATGGGGTGGGGGAGAGGGGAAGACCTGGCATCTTGTGTGTCCTCTGACCAGTCTTGTAGGTGAGGAGGGGTGCCTGGCCAGCCTAATGCAGGGGGGCAGATGGCTGTAGCGGTGGGTACCTTGGACTGGGAAGGGACCGGAGGCGGTGGGCAATGTGCCGAGGAATTGGTGGGACACCCAAGGGAATCCAAAACTGCTACTGAGGCAACCACTACAGTGCTCCCGTGTCCTTTGGTGGTGGGGTTCTGTGGGTGTAGAGCAGTTCAAAGCCACAGAAGCTTCCCTCCAGGAGGGTGAGCCTGAATGAAAAGCCCACAGTGGAGCCAAGCCTGTCTGGATAGACCGTGCTGGGCGGCGTGGAGACAGCCAATGGCAGTACAATCACTGGTGCTGGTTGCGACTGGACAGTGGACTGTGCCAGACTGAGATGGAGACCAGCGTGGAGAGCAGGACTGGCACCAAAGATAGCGTGTCAAAGGCCGGTGTCAAAGAGCAGTTGCATGCGCTGTGGAATGGTGCCGAGATGAAGGTCTACTCTGAAGAACGGTGCTGAGACTGAGGAGAGCGCTGATGATCCAGTTGAGGTAGAACTTGAGTGGCGGCAGGACTGCGAGATCCCTCAGTGCTGAACATGAGGACGGTTGGAGCGCTGCGATGACCCCGAAAACGACCAAAGTCAGCTTGCTACGGATGCCTGTGAGTGGCTCAGAGGGGGACTGGCTGCAAGAGCAGTGCTACAAGTGCGACTGATGCTCCGAGTCAGACCATGCTGGGACTCCAAGCAGGGAAGACACCAGAGCCGGAACTGGTTGGGCCCATCATGGCCGGCTTCCCCCATGAAGACTGCAGGAGGGAGGGGAGTGGAGACCTTATCCTGAGGGGGCACTGCATAATCTCAATGAGGCCCTCAATGGTGTCCGGCATAGAGAATGGACCCATCACCAATGGTTCGCCCCTCAGAGTCCAAGAGGATTGGGCTTGGTGTGCAGGAGGAATTTGGCAGTTCAGCACCTCGGGCCCAAAGAACGTCAGGGCCCGTCGACATGGAAGGTGCAGAGGAAGCAGGTGGTGCCGGTTGCACTGATGCCGAGGACTTGGCTGTCTTAGAATACCATGCTGGGGAGCAAGAACAGTGCTGGGCAGAAGCCGTTGGGGAGCACTGGTGTCAAGACAGGTCCTTCTTCGTCATCTGCCCTGGTACCAAACGGGCACACTCTGTGCTGGTTCCTGTGTCTGAGGTCAAAGAGTGGATTCCATAAGTAGCTGCTTCAGATGAAAGTCACGCTTCTTTCTGGTGCATGGTTTGAAGGCCTTGCAGATCTCACACTGGTCAGCCTGGTGGGCTCACTCCAGGTACTGGAGACATGAATCATGGGGGTTGTTTGTTGGCATAGACTTATGCGGGGTCTGAAGCCCTGGGACTTTGGCATGCCTCAGGCCCCAAAAGGAACATGGGTGGGAAGGGGGACACCCCTTCCCCTCCTGCTGCTAACTTTAACTCTACAACTACTAATCAAACTTTTGTGTGTGTGTAAATAAAGAGCTGGAAGCACTAGCCACAGTTTCAACAGCCATCACTGGTGGTAAGAAGGAACTGAGAGGTGGTTGGATCGGCAGGATCATATATAGGGTATCACAATGGTGCCACTCCAGGGGGCTCCACAGCCAACCCAGCAGGTAGCTACTAGTGCAAAAAAAAAAAAACCCCAACTTTTCCAGCAGTCGTACATACAGTGCGCACACACCTAACTTGGAACAGATATGAGCAAGCACTTGAATAATGACAAGTGACTAGATAGAGCAAGACACGGAACAGGGCCGATCTAGAGTGGCCACTAGAAGGAGGGGCAGAAGAGTAGCCTGATTTCCAATGAGTGCCAAATGCAAAGCACCTCTCCCCACCAATGTTCCCTGTAAGCAAAGCGCTTGGATGGCCACCCAGGAGAGATTCAAATGCTTGGCCAGCTATTTAGCAGAACACCCTTAGCCAGCAGCGTATGTTTCTATTGGTGATGCACATTTGCACGTGCCTTGGTGCAGATATAAAAATGTATTCCGCACATGGATGAAAAAAATTAGAGGCAACATTACTGTCCACTAAGGCTAAGATAGGAGAAGGGTTATGGATGCTGCTGTTCCTACAGCTGCCCCATTAACATCTCTCTATTATTTCACCACACTTCAGTGCTGTGGACATCGAGCCAAACTACAGAATAGCAGGAGTTTGAGAGCAGCAGGCTGCTCAAAACTGATCTCTAAAGAAAAATACTCAAATCTGCATGAGGGTAGGGGGAGAGGAGTCACAGAACTTTGACACTGGGTAGAAGTTCAGGCCCTGGAAATGCTACAAAGGAGAAGTACTCTGGAAATGATTTTTAGATCTCTTGAGAGCAGGGTCTCATCTCACCCTCTACTGGATTCCTGGCTCTAGCTACACTGCAAGATGCCCCTTGCAACTCTCAATGTAAAAACCAAAGACAAAAGCAACTTACGACAGCACCCCATGAGGGTCTAGGCCCGTAGTCAGCTGCAATCTGTCCATGAGCACAGCACCAGGGACTGCATCGCTCCCTCCCCATTCACTAGAGGCTGCATACCACTTCACTGCATACATGCATGCTGACCATTTGGGCCAGATTCTCAGCCCTTCCGAGCAGATGGTTGACCTAGGACTTCTTGGCGATAAGGCAGGGATGTGAAACCTATGGCCCCTGGGGATGGATCCAGCCTCCAGCTTCCTTTAATTTGGCCTGTGAGACTCTGGGCTTCCCCCTCTCTCACAACAGGGGGAAGCAGAGGGGAGCCAGCGCTAAAGCCCCTGAATGGCCGGCTCTGCCCGGTGGGGGGCAGGAAGTGGCTGTGTCCTGCCATTCTCCCTCCCCTAGCACAGGGGCCTGCTGGATCCACACCCATCACTCCCACTAGCCTAGAGAGGGGCCCACAGAATCTACTAGCCCATGGCCCACAAAAAAAGACTTCATCCATCCTGAGCATGGAGCTCCAAGTTGCATGAGCAAGTGCCTTTTCTGCTTTTCAATTGGGGGGCCACGTCAGCAAGGGTTTTGTCTTTCTCCTTCTGACTTGTGGGTCCCCAACTGATTTTTCTGAGAGTCAGTCGCCTCCAATCCAAAAATGGTTACCCACCCCAAGGTAAGGGAAAGCTCCAGGCCAGACAGATGTTTCTGACTCATGGATAAAACCATGCCTCCATTCTGTTTGCCTTCACTCCTTGCACTGAACAGGATTCCCTTAAACAAGGCTAAAGATAGGAAGTGAACCTCCTGAATCCCCATCCCAACACCCTGCTGCAGTGCCAATGAGGAAATTGGAGAAAACTCCTTCAGCATGATAAAGAAAAGCCAGGGGGCAAGAAAGTGCTCTTACCCATGTTGAGTGATTCTTTCTGGAAGTCCTTGGTCAGGTGTGAGTGGCTGGTGATGCAGTAAACATAGCGTTCCAGCACGTACCAACACATCTCGTAGTAGAAGGGGTAGCGAAACTTATTTGGGACCTGCCGAGGGGTGATAGAGGCAAGACAGAGCTAAGTAAAGGGATATTACAACAGAAAGGCACACTGACAGCACTCTAAGCACAGCTATTTTGCTCCCAGAACAAGCCTCTTGTGAGAGGTGGGCACTGCATGTATGGGGAGTGGTTCCAGCCCCCTGACATTTTGTCTCACGGCAGGCAGCTGCCCATTGGCAGGTCAGACGTAGCTCACTCCCAGACCATTTACATTTCATCCTTGTTTGGGGTTATGGATCTGTGCTGCATATGCCATGCAACAAACCCTCCTCCATTATTGCAGAGACAGTTGCAAGGTCAGCACTCTACACAAGCCATTAGCTGGGAGTACTGTGCTTAGACTCAACCCAAGCTAAAACCTAATGCAAGTTACGTGCTCTGAAGGCTACTTGAGAGAAGGTGAGGCTATTGCCAAGAAGAGTCTGTCTACTGCTTTAGCAACTCCATGCCAGGAGTTACCCCAGGCAAGTTCTGAATCCACTTCACAGCAGTTAACTGGTGGAGAGGCATCAGCCTGCTGATCCAATCACTCTCACTCAAGGTCACAAGAGGCTTTTAGCCTCAGTAATCCCTGCTGCCTTGTCAAAACTTAGCATCAGACTCCAAAGCAGCAGAGGAAGGGAAATGAAAATGCAGAAGCACCATATTTGAACGACTTCAGTGACCAGTAACCTTCCTTTTCCTACAAAGAAGGGCTTGGAAACTCTCACTCGGATTCACTGTACCCAGTGGCTCTCCCCAGCCTGGAGCTGGATTGGAACCAGAGCCCTAGAATTTAATACTCCCCTTATCCCATCCATCCACACTCAACCCCAAACCAGCCAGTCCTTCCATTTTCTTAGACCCAGCAAACTGGAGTCCGGTCCTTTTGGAAGCCTGGTGGGCTGTATTTCTTCCCATGTGCGGGGAGTGAGTCCCCGATTCAGAAGTTGCTTTCAGGCCCTCCTGAGGATTCTTACCCGGGTGCGGTCTTCAATGCTGTAGATGCGCAGTTGCATGGGGATGTTGAAACTGTGCAGGAAGTTGCCTCCAAAAACCAAAGTGTCCATGGGAGTGTACACTGCATGGATCCAGCCTATCAGAGTAAGAAATGGAGAGTTCATAGGCTAGCTCTGTGGTGTCTAACATGCTAGCCACATGTGGCTATTTGGGCTGGTTGAGTATGGCTAGTTTGCTACTACAGTGGGTACTGCTTCAGAACTGGTTCGACACCATAGGGCTAGCTATTTCTAACAAATACATGGATGAAGCATTTTTACACTCCATATTAATTCAAAATACCTCTCCAGCTCTGAATCCAGTTGGCTTATCCCAGACACTGGAAGGGTGTTAATCACATGCGCCTGGGGATTCTAATCCCACAGCCACCCCCACTCATGTGTATCTAAGGTTCTCATTTGCCACTCATTCCTTTACCTCCAGCAGCACCTTCTCTCCCTTTTCTACTTCTTCCTCGCCTGCTAGTCAGGCTAAACTCCTTGGGGGCAAGGCCTGCCTGTATCATGGCACCTAGCACACTTGTGTCTACCTAGTCCCGCGTTTCTCAAACTGTGGGTCCCGACCCCCCAGGGGGTCATGAGCAACTTAGAGGGGAGTTGCGATATTACAAAGTTTGAGGACCCCTGACCTAGACATTAATGTGTGTCTGATCACACTAGCCTCAGAGTCTCTGGTAGGATGTGATCTTGGCTTTGATAACTGACTTTAACCAACTGGCACCAATGAAAGTTTGCAGTTGTCTGTTTTGCATGCAGGCCAATGATAGACCTCAAGTCAAATAGGTCAGTGACTTGAGAAAATGCAGAGATGGGGCTGGCACTGCTTGCTACAGCAGAACATCTAGAATGCTCAAATGTGCTCGGGGGCAATGCCTTCTAAACAATGGTCTGATTCCTGACCCTCCCTCCCATCCTTTCCAAAGGAGCATACAATTCTCAATCTTTCATACCATTAGCACTCTTCACTCGGACAGCTCCCTCTCCTCACTAAAGCCTTCCCACAACCAGCCGGAAGGCATCCCTGGTATAGGGAAATATCTACCTCCAACACCACTGATACCATCTTCTTCCTTTCCTGCTACCTTCCTCTCATCCAGGTTCATAGGAAAGTTACCTCTGCAGTGTTTGGCCCTAACACCCCTATATCTGCCCCTCAGCTCTGTTCTCTCAAAAACCCCTCTCACTACCTCATTTATAATCTTTACCTTTACCAAAGTGGTCCCAGTGTTCTTTGCCCTTGACAGATTGCCTTTCCAACAAGACACCTCTGAGATGATTGAAATGCTAGGCATTACGAGCACAGTTGAAAAATCCTGAGAACACTATTCGCCAATTCTTGCCCCCGCAGGAAGCTGCATAGGGTTATTTATGTGCTTTTATTAGCGAAGGCAGGCAAAAGCATGCCTGGGATTTGGGAAAACGAGTGACCCCTGGATCCTGCAGATCCTGGTACCACAGCCTTGGACCAGTTTGGAGAACGCTCTCAAACAAGCTATGACTTGCAGCAAACCATTCAGTTTGCCACCACAGCCCAGTTGACTGATCAAAACATCCCAGACTCAAATCATTAATATTTTTGAAGATAAGGGTTCAGAGCTACAGATTTCCACAAGAATCAATACGTCTTTCTGCTTTATCTTTTCTCATCTTCACCTTCTCTAACTACTTGGATCATACTCAGCTGGATACCTTTCTGTTTACCCTCTGCCTGCCCTGGCAAAGTCCATCTGAAGCTTTGTCTCTGCTCCCTGTAGGTGAATGTCTCAAAGATGGAAGAAGGGCTTCTCTTGGACAGATGAACCGGCGTGATAACCCACTTCTCATCTGCTTAAAGCTCCCAAATGTTCAGTTCCTAACCCTGGAGTCATCCTTGACTATGAACCCCTTTCTGCCACACACTTGTTCTATGAGCCTCTTTCCACACCACTGCACCCTTGTCCCTACTACACAGTTAGCCCTCAAGCTTTCAAGACCCTCTGGTCTTCACTCCTGCAACTCCCATCTCGATGCTTCCAGCCCTCCTGATTCCAGTATCTACCAGATGCTGCTGCTATCTTCTCACATAGAAAGCAATGCAGTCATGTTATTCATTTCCTAAATATGTGCCCTCTCCTTCCCCTTCTTACATTATAGGACACAGGTCAAAACTGTCCTTATTTTAGGAATTTCCACGAAGTTTAGTTAAAACCATGCCTGCTCTCCCCCAGCCTTCCGTCCTTCCTCTTAACAGGACTATTTCCTATTTTGCACCTCCAATAGCTCCCACTAAGGACCTTCTCTTCAGACCCTACCATCTGAAAGAGTTTCTCTGCCCAGCTCATCTCAAATATTCAGGAGAACACATCTTTCTCCTCTGCCTCTTAATTACTGACTTCTGCTTTGTTACTTAGATTTAGTACCATTTAACTTTATGATCCATTATGGGAGTTTGTATGAAAGATGCTACAGAGGTATATCATTTAATCGTCTCCAAGAAGCTTGCTATGCAGGAAGTTCAGGGAGAAATCGCCCTGTTCCCAATGGCTGAAATGTGATGAGTGTATCCCGTAGAGATTCGTCCTTCCCATTGCCTCAAACTTCCTAACCCCTGGTGCAGATTATACTCCTCACAATGACAAGGATAAATGCCCAGTTCCAGCATCCTCCCACAGTCCCTAATACCTGAGGGGATGACAAACGTGTAGCCCTGCTTCAGCTCAATTCGTTGACAGTCTGACACTTTGTCTCCTAGAAAGATGTCCCCTTGTTTCCCTGACAGCAGCCAATTCTCATAGAGCTCCAGGTTCTGGGGCGTCGGCGGGATCAGCCAGAAGATCTGCAAAGTTCATTGGGTAGAGTTCCTTCAAGAGCTGTAGACAAAACCCTATTCATGCCATATCCATTATTTTGTTCAAGCACCAATCAGCCATTTCTTTCCACCCACAAGAGAAGCCATGCACAGAAGATACTAACAGAACCATCAACAGATATTCCGTTAGAGATGGTCAACAACTAACAAGAGACTTCATGTCATAACTTATGTGCTGAACACTGCAAGCATCCAGGGTACGTAGACATTCATCACATTCCAGGAGAACTTATGTGACTGGAAATTCTACATCCTTCAAAACACATGGAGGATGTATAGCAATGTTTTCTGAAGTGCCACTCTCCTATAGAAAATACCTACAGATTACACTCTTACTAGCCTCTGTGCAGCACTACAGTAAGCAAATTGTAGTCATCCATTCCCTCTCAGAAGACAGCAACAAATCTCACAACCTTCAGGACCAAACTGAAGGACCACCCCATTGGAGAGATGCTTCAAACATAAGCCTCCGAAGTAGCTAGAGCAGCCCAGACAAATTAAAGAGTTCTGTGTCAGTCACATGGGGGAACAGGCACAAGAGAAGAGAGCACAGACTCAAGTCTTGCAGTTTATGGCATGACTTACTGTTTTTGTAAGGTAATTATATACTACGGTGGTATAGATTATACTAATGCATGAGATAGAGTGGCTTTCACCATTCTGCTACAAATGCAGCATTGGCTCTGCAGTATTGATAACATTTAAAAAAATATATTATAGTAAGCAGATGGAAGGGGTTATACAACAATATTTAAAGCTAGAACCAGAGCTCCTAAATATGCATGATTTTCGTCTTCCTTATAACCGAATAGATCCTTTTGTCTTCAACATTTGTGATTGTTATTTTTCAAACTGAAACTGATCAAAAAATTGTTTCTGAAGTTTTAGGATTCCAGAAACTGATTTTTTAAAAAGAAATGTGGGCCACAATGGCTCATATTTTTGTGCACCTATAATAAAGAGCAAGTTGCATGTTACAACTGAACACTTTGGGAGGACTTTCAAAGGCAAAGATAAGCGTTGTGTATCTTTCAGTGGCAGACAGATGCCTCAGCTGTCTTGAATGTTAGAAGATCTCGCCCTTCTTGTACATGTCAAACTCCATTAAGTGTTGTGCGTAATTAATGTTTTACAAAAATCAGCTATGGCAATGAGGCCTACCCTACTTCTAGGCAAGACAGCTTATACTAGCAAAGAAAAAAAAAGTTTTTGTTTGGTAGTTTTTTGGGCCACAGTCTATACTAAAATCCCTGAATGAAGTAAGCTATACTGGCAAAAGAACTTTGTCAGTATAACTGCATCTACTCGAGGGCTTTATTTGGTATTATGTCATTTCAATTAGGGGTGGATTTCTCTCCTCCCCCACACCCTTAAGTGACATAGCTACCTCCGCAAAACTTTATAGCTTAGACCTGACCTGACCCTCTTAAGCTGAAATATTGTCAATGAAAGTTTTTGCATTGGTTTAAAACTCAGAGTGAAATTAAGCATGTCTACAATCTTTTAATGCTGTTTACACTAGGGAAAAAGGTACTTTATTAAAACAGGATAGCTAACATGCATCCCAGAATGAAAAAAGCAATCATAATTCTTGAAGGAATGTTGTAAGAAACATGTGAGGAGTAATTCTTTCATTCTATTCTGTGTTGGTAAGGCTTCAACTGGAATAGCTTGCCCAGTGCTGAGCACCATATTTTAGGAAAGGATGGATAAACTGGAGAAAATTCCAAGGAGTGCAACAAAAATTGTTAGAGATTTAGAAAACAGAGGAAAGATTAAAAAAAAAAACCAACTGTGTCTGCCTCATCTGGTAAAGAGACGAGAGAGGGGATATGACAAGACTTTTCAAGAACATAAAACTGTTACAAGAGGGCGAAAACATTTTTTTTATTAATCTCTGAGAATTGGTTTTGATGGCAGCAAGGGAAGCTTAGGTTTGACATTAGGAAATATTTCCTGTCAATACAGTTAAACTCTGGAACAAATTGCCTACCAAGGCTCTGGAATCTGAGTCACTGGAGGTTTAAGCTGACTCTGGATTCTGTGGAAATGCCACATGGAGCACTGCTGAGTCCGCATGGAAACACCAAGTCCCTTGCTGACCTCAGGCTCTATTCGGGCGCTTCTGCTTTGAAATGCACAAGAGCCCCCCATGGGGATTCTTGTACATTTCAAAGCTGGGACACCACGTGCAGCCTAGGGCCAGCAGAAGCATCCGCGTGGAGCCCGGAGTCAGATTTTTCAACAGAGTTTATGCATGTAAAATTTTATGCACTTAAGTTTATTTATAATATCCCTACAATATTATGCTTGGATAATTTTTTATTTTGTTGCCTTGTACCTTTAAGTGCAACAACAACTCGTAACACTCTTGTTAATAAAGACAGTACAGTAGAATCAGAGTTACGAACACTGGAGTTATAAATTGACCAACCTCATTTGGAACCAGAAGTATGTAACCAGGCAGCAGCAGAGAAAGAAATCCCCCCAAAACCCAAAGAGCAAATACAGCACAGTCCTGTGTTAAATGTAAACTACTAAAAATAAAAGGAAGGTTTAAAATAGCTTTGACAAAGTAATGAAATTGTGGTTGTTTCATTGAAATTAAGACGGCTAAAAGCAGCATTCTTCTGCATAGCAAAGTTTCAAAACAGTATTAGGGCAATGCTAGAGTTGTAAACTTTTGAAAGAACCACCGTAAGGTTCTGTTCACAGTTACAACCTCCATTCCCTAGCAGAGTAACGGATAAGCAAAAGCTTATAGGTTAATGCTGTAGACTACACATTTGCCCCCTGCCAGTAAATTTTTTTAGGAGGCTGGCCAGCAGCTTGGCTCAGTTCTGGGTTGCGCTGGGTCTGGGACCTACCCCCGCTGTGGCTCTGCATTTAAAGTATATTAGGAGCCAGGCGAGCAAGCAGTCTGGCTCAGTTCCAGCTCACACCGGGACTGGGAGCTTAAAACTCAAACTGGACAGGGGCTGTTCTATCAGTGGCAGCAGTGTGGGGCAACAGGCAGCTGGTCCATGAGGGGAGCTGTTTTTTAACCTGGCTCCCGTTGTGGGTCAGCTCTTGCCTGACACCCTTCGCTTCTGCCTTTGATACAGAGGCAGCAGCTCAGAGTGGCAGGGGGCTTCTTGGGAGTGGGGTCGGAGCGCACTGGCTGCTGGCCCCACCTCTGGGGACTAACGGTCGAGTAACCAGTAACAATTCATGAGGTTAGTCAACTATTCAATTAACCAATATTCAACATCCCTATTGCTTAGATGTTTGTAACTGAGGTTCTACTGTAATACAACATCAACAAAGGCTATAGTAGTGAACATATGAACTGCACAGAAGTCTAGACCAGTAGAAAGCAGTGGCATTAGCCTTTTGAAGGCATCCGACAAAGTTAACTGTAAATCATCAGAAGTGTATTATAAAAAGTTGAGACTTAATGGTATTATCAGAGATGAACCAGAGAAGTTTGCATCCATATCCAAGTCTTGATGAAATCTAACAGAGTTTGGGTTCAGTTTTAAGAAATGACTGAAGTTGAGAAGCTCAGGGTTGGATACTAGTTCAAGGGTTTCATATTCAAACTCACCCTGAGCTCTGATCCTGAAAAACTTAACTTTTATCCCAACTCTGCATAAAAAAATCATGGGGTCTAAAGTAGCCATTACCACTCAGATCTGGGAGTCACTGTGAATAGTTCTCTGAAAACATCTACTCAATGAGCAGCGGCAGTTAAAAAAGCAAACAGAAAATTGGGAATCATTAAGAAAGGGATACATAATAAAGACAGAAAATGTCTCATTGCCTCTGTATAAATCCATAGTATGCCTGCATCTTGAACACTATGTGCTGATGTGGTTGCCTCTTCTCAAAAAAGTATCTTGGCACTGGAAAAAGTTCAGAAAAGGGCAACAAAAACGATTAGGGTTATGGAATGGTTGCCATAAGCAGAGATAAATAAGACTGGCAGTTTTTACCATGGAAAAGGGACTACTAAGGTAGGATATCATGAAGTTCTATAAAATTGTGATTGAGGTGGAGAAAGTAAATAAGTTAAAGTTATTTACTCCTCCCTGTAACACAATAACTAGAGGGTCACCAAATGAAATTAATAGGCAGCAGGTTGAAAACAAACAGTGAGAAATCCTGTGGCACCTCAAAGACTAACAGATTTGTTTGGGCATAAGTTTTCATGGGTAAAAATCCGCATCAATTGCATCTAACTGATGAAAGCTTATACCCAAATAAATCTAAGTCTTTAAGGGTATGTCTACACTAGCCACCCTAGTTCGAACTAGGGTGGCTAATGTAGTCATTCAAACTTGCAAATGAAGCCCGGGATTAAAATATTCCGGGCTTTATTTGCGTGTTCCTGGGTGCCGCCATTTTTAAATGCCCGGTAGTTCGGACTCCCTGCCCGCGGCTACAAGTGGCATGGGCTAGGTAGTTCGAACTAAAGCCCCTAATTTGGACTACCATTACTCCTCCTGCAATGGTAGGACTGTATCTGCCAGAGAATATGAAGGCCAGGACTTGGACAGGGTTCAAAAAAGAACCAGATAAATTCATGTTCATCAATGACTACTAGCCAAGACAGCAATGATGGTGTCCCTAACTTCTGTTTGTCAGGGCTGGAATGGGTGACCCTGGGATGGATCACATGACTCCCCCCTGTTCATTCCCTCTGGGGCACCTGGCATTGGCGTCTACTGGAAGACAGGCCGCTGTGCTAGATGGCCCTTTGGTCTGACTCAGTATGCTGTTCTGATACGTTTTATTTTAAGGGTACTAGTTTGCAATTTAAGAACTTCAGTCAGTGGCGTTTTTTGAAAGCTCTCCAATTAGTCTATTACTGGTTTAAGAAGGCAAATCGTAATGTCACTCCCATCATGGAATCCCATAGAACACCATCCCAGTGTGGAGGTCAGACTTCCCCTGAAACTCACAGCTGTGTAAGTTTAGCTCTACCTTGGTTGCTTTTTCAAGACCCACAAAGCATTGTTAGCAGTCCTCACAGGGGCTGCCCTCGTACCTTTCCCCCTCGGTGGATGTGGTACCATACGGAGGTGCCGCCAAAGTCCACGTGGAAATCTGTGTAGCAGCCCTTAACACTCATCAGACAGTACCTAGCCAGAGAAAGGAAAAAGAAAGAAGCAGGATAAAGAGTAGCAGCACATACCTCAGTTTTAAAGCTGTCACTTGTGAAACCCCAACAGCTGCAGCATGCTCAACGGTATAAGGAGAAACATGAAGGGGTGGATGCAGGGACAAGTACTCAGTGGTATTAGGCTCCAGGGAAATGCAAACTGAGCAGCTCTTGAGGCTAAATACTAGTGATAACTGAGATTGCTGGCAAATGGCAAGAGAGTCCATTTACATCAAGAAATCAAATCCACAGTAGGAACGTTAGCCCAGCAAGTGAAGGAAAAAGCTTCCCTCCTCTTCTTCCTAAAAGCTTCTTGAAATCTGTCATTGGCTTAAACTAGCTTGCTGTGGCAGGACAGCAAATACTTGGCAACTTGTCTAATTCAACATGCTGTATTAGAATGACAAGTCATGCAATTTTACCAATTGCAATGAGGACAAAGCAACTTGTACAACTGCCCTGAGTTTGGAGGAGTTAACCACTCTGCTGTTTTAACAGCATTTGCGAACAGTAACTGGGGGTAGGTACAAAGGGACACAAACTTCTCAATAGCTGCCACATTCAGCTTTCCAGGCGTGAGTGCCTCACTCCCTAGATTCACTGGAAGAGGATGTGCTAGGCACACACACTTAACAAGGTCACTTACTTCTGCACCTTGGGATACTGCATCTCCAGAATGGCATTTGTAGACTCTGTTTGACTCTCCTTCAGGTGTCTTGGCCACATATTGTCAACCCAGTCGATCAAATCCACCTGTAATCAGAGAGGACTTAGGACCAAGCCTCAATAAGATGGTCCCTGACTCTCTTCCAATGCACCGGTATTTCTAGGAACTGTGCAACCAACATGATAGCTCCAGAGGCCAGGTAACAAATATAGTAAATACTATCTTTGGCTGTAGCGAGACTACTTTGCAGGCATGATCAGTCACAAAGTTGACCAGATCTCTCTCTCGGTTCCTAGCCACCTTGCCAGCACTGCTACTTCAGGCTTAGGACTTGAATCCAGAGCCCCACACATTCTACCGCTCAGAAGAATCCAGTGTGTGGATCACCCTTGCCATGGAACAGTGCTTTGAAATCTAACTTATTTCAACAAGCTGCTGTAGTTTTTATGGTTGCATAGGAAACCTTTCCTATGTGAACAAAGAGTACATAGAGTGGAGCAGTGTGAGTCTGCAGAGAGCCTGAAACAATAGCTGAGGTGTGAACTACTCCCCATTTATCTCAGTGGGGCTCTGTCTGTAGGTTTATTTAGTTGTCAACATTCACTGCTTCATCATATTAATAGATATCCTGCTTGTGTGCTTCTCCCATAGTCCCATGACACTCCCCCCCCCCCCCCCCCACAATCTCTTTTATAACT